TGTGTGTCTCTGAGGACTCTGTGTGTCTCTGAGGACTCTGTGTGTCTCTGAGGACTTTGTGTCCTTAATTTATTTTTCTATTTTAAAAGGGAAATATCAGGGGGGCTGTTTAGACCCCTAATGTTTCCCCCGAAGCCCCTCCCCCAACAGTAAAAAAAACAAACAAATGTAAATATAAAAATGAACTAATAAATAAAAAAACACATCTGGAGGCGTGGCGCTGGGTGACGTCCCTACGTTCAGGGGCAGGAGGGGGTGTGGGGTTGTATTGAAGTTAATGGCGCCGCAGCCACGCCCCCCGCCCACAGTGCGATCGCCCGCACCCGGAATGCAGCCACATTAGTGCCTGCGTTCCGGGCGATCTCCATACGAGAAATTGTGGGCGCCCCTGATCTCTATAATGTATACCCCGAAGTTTCGGCTGTGGCTCCCTCGTCCTGTGTCAGGTCCGCGGTCACAAATGGTGGACGGAGCCCAAATCAGGTCCCGTCAGGATTGGCGATTGTATCTGCTCTCCTATTGGCTGGCACTCTGGACTACCTGGCCCCTCCCTCTCCCCTCCGGATGGTGCGGGGCCCGGGATGTGTTCAGCGTCGGGTGGAGTTCTTCCTCATAGCCGGGGACATGTTACCAAGACTTGTTAGCGCGGAGTGCGGCCTTGCTGCATGTGCTTCGGCTTGGCAGTGTCTGGACGCATCGCTGTCAGTGCAGGCGCCGCGCTTCGGTCATAACGCCGCTGTGTCTTCCTCAGGTGACGGGAAGAGAATCTCTGAAGGATCGCTCCGCCAGGCCGGTCAGAATCGCCGAAAGCGACGTTGATGTAAGTGGAGAACTTCTGGAATACGAATTGGGAAAATGGCGATTTGGGTTGACTTTGGGGGAGGGGCACGCTTCCGGGGAGTGTCACATGGTGCGGGGGGTGTGTGTGTTGTGATGTCAATGGCGATTTGGGTTGACTTTGGGGGAGGGGCACGCTTCCGGGGAGTGTCACATGGTGGGGGGGGGGGTGTGTGTTGTGATGTCAATGG